CGCCCTGAGTCCCCCCCGGGGTGAGAAGGGCGGGGTATAAGTAGATGAAATAAATAAATAAATAAATAACAGACATTGAAATATACTATTTCAAAGTCTATGGCGCTTAGGCAATGGTTAGAAATGTCACCTTAACAATGCTGCTGGTAATGCTAGACTTCAAACTATAAGAGTGCATCTATTCTATAGAATCAGTGCAGCTTGATACCACTTTAATTGCCATGGCTCACTGCTATAGAATCATGGGACTTGTAGTTTTACAAGGTCTTTAGTCTTCTCTGCTAAAGACTGCTAGTGCTTTAACAAGCTACAACTCCTAGGTATTAAGCAATGGCCTTTAAAGTGGAGTCAAACTGCATTAATTCTAAATGCTCCCTTACTCTCTGAAATCGCCTAAACAATCAGCACTCAGGCCTAGTCTAAAGCTATCCAGACTCTACCTTCACTGCAGACAATCTGAAGGCAACTATATAGGCTGTAATACCACATCTGCATGAGTAGATCTACTGTAACATCCAAGCAGATCAGAGAAGAATATAAAGAGAACTGAAAAAACAGACAAATTATTTATCAATTTTAAAATGTTGCCCTTTCTTCTAAAAACAATAAAATATAACTGAGATACTCCTCAGAGTATCCCAGTTCTCATAGATAAATATGGGCTAGAATTACAACACTGTTGCTCCAAGTATCCTCAGGAAGATCTCAGTCCTAGTTGGGCAAAGACTCTCTTTTTCTTAGTAGACTAGGGATCAAGGGCTACCACCGTTTATACAACAGGAGATTAGAAGGTCCAAACGGAATGAAGTAGAGCAGGTTATCATTCACCTGGCAGATGCATAACTCACAGGGATCACCCGGTGACCAAATCTGTCCAATTGGAAATTCAACTCCATTGTCATCCACAAAACAACCTGGTCAAGAAAAGAGAAGCATTGAAATGAAACACATAGTAAACATCGAGTAAAAACCTCTGCAAAAAACAGACTAGGCAGTGGGTTCTGTGACATGCATACATTGTTGACGGAAGCCCAATCTACATTACCATATAATCCAGTTTCTGATCCCAGATTATCTCCTTTGAACTAGATTATATGGCAGTGTAGATCCAGCCACAGCCTCCATTTCCAAATAATCAGACAGACTATTGTTTACCTCTTGATACAGTGCCATGTGCACACATAGGCTGTTCATGGAGAGCTTACCTGTCGTTGGTGCAGCTTTTCGGCAGGTGAAACAACATTGCCCTGGAGCCAACAGCCACTCATCTTGGGGACACTCCAGAGTGGGACAGGGTGCAAAGGAGCACTCAACTTCACCTTGCTGAAGAAGGAAGGAGTGGTATTTTTATTTACAGTAACGATAAGGTGGGCAGGGATGAGATCATGAACACTTCCAATCAACTCTTCCCTACTGAGTTTTGTAAAATAAGGGAGATGGGTAGCGAAGGCCTGTCACAGGAATCTGTGAAGCCATCCTTGACCATTTATTTATCTGCTTTATTTATACCCTGCCTTTCTTCACACACTTTTGTCACAATTTAAAACAAAGTGAATACAAACATTAAAAAGCAATTAAACAACACAGTGTAGATTAAGCTAAAATAAAGATTACAATATAAGAAATGCACTTAAAATAGCATATTGGCAAGTAGCATCTTTCAATTCGCCTCTGCTGATCTTTACTAGTTATCCCTACAAAGTATTACTCAGGACACAGAAAAAATTGTACGAGAAATCAGCAGCAACTGCTTGACTGAGAGTTTATCACCTAACCAGAGAATACCAAATGTAGCCCTTCAAGAACAGAGGCACAGAAAATTCTTTAAGAAGGCCTTAGGCCTGGCCCATACATCCCCCCCCCCCTCACACACACACAAGGTGCAATCACAAGACAATTTCACAATTGTCATATATTACATCTTAATGATGCTAAGCAAGGGGCTCCTTAAAACATGCATTAATCACATCTAACTGAAATAACCTGCAACATTTCAACAAATGAAGCAGTATGTATGGAAACCTGTTGCCATTTTAGGTATATGCAGCTTCTCCTACTGAAGTGGTTGGACATTTTTGGCCCACCATGAACATCTGCATTCATTACATGCAGTTATATATATGTATGTAGTGTGTCTACATTGTGATGATTGCAGAACCTTGTTAGCAGTTAAATTAACTCACAAAGAAATCTTGGACACTTCTTTAATGTTAGGTTACTACTATACAGCAAAGTTATGAATGAAGTTCTCAGTTCAATTCTCCCCCCCCCCCCCACCCTTCAACTTCCAAAAGTTTCTCAGTACAGTCCCCATGTCTTCCAGTCTAAGCAGGTTCTTCTTCACGCAGGGCCCCAGATGTTTGCCCTCTATTTACATTACTCAGTCTTGGCTGTGAACCCATTGCATGGAGGTGTTCTGATGTCTCAAACACACCAGAGATGAGTCTATGACATACATACACATATGGCATTTGACTGCATATTCACATGTGCATGCAGTTGTTATAATACTGCCATTCAACACAAAGGCTGTTTTGCATTGTCAACACATTATTCTGCTATCTACTGACAACTGAGTAGATCTAAGGACTCAGGAGGGACTACCAGTTAGCCAGAGTATAACAAATGGTGCCCTTCTTAAGAAAGAGGCATGGACACCTACCCTGCACACACAGGTGGTACAGTCATCACCATCCAGGCTAAACTCAGTCCCTTCTGCATAACTCTGACCACGAAAATGGCACTCTACTGCAGAAGAAAAAGAAAGGAGGTCAGTGTGGCTATTCTGGAAGAGCCATGGCAGAAAACGGAAGCATGGTTCAGGATGTGTTGGTAGTAAACAGTGTTAGCTGTGTTAGCAGTGATGGGGCACAGTTTATCTTCTGTAGTGGCAATCCTACTGAGGAAAGCTTGTCTGGTGCTAAACATGGCAAGAAGAGATCTCTTGATTTTTTTTTCAGGGCCTTTGAAACACCACAACATGTACACTACCTTCAAGTGTTCAAAGGGTTTCATGGCCTGTTATCTAACTGTAGATTAGGCTTTCCCCACCATTTCCATCACTGTGATTAAATGATGCCTAGAAGGCATCAACTCTTTGTAGAAATGAGGGCACTCAGATATCCCTCGTAGCCTGTTTTGCAAAAGAGCAGATAAATAGGATTTTGGGGCTCACCTGGTTGACAGGGACAACAATCACTCTGAGTAAAGCTGGGACATGGACTGGGTGCACATTCTGGAGAAATACAGGAAACATTGCCCGCCTGGAATCAGGAACCAACAGATTACAGAGCAGATATTCACTGGCTTATATGACATCTTTATCGTCAAATCAGACACCAAGATTACTTAATCACATTATTACTAGTATCTTCAACAAATCATAGGAGATGGGCCAGTGTTTATGGGCACTATTGTCACCTGCTTAAAGCCAACCCAAGATGTTTGATGCCTAAGACAAAACAGCAAACTGCAAAGCTCCCTGGTTCTGAAATAAAGGTATGCAACAACAAAATGATAGGAAGAAAATCAACTCATTTGAGGTGTGGTGCTGGAGAAAGGTTTTGGGGATACTATGTTCCTAAAAACAAAAAGAAAATCCTGAATTTCTATAAACAAAGATCACTATGTTGAAACTTCAGGGAATAAAGTCCAACTGCTCACTGGAGGGAAGGATATTAGAGGCAAAAATGAAGTATTTTGGCTACATTATGAGAAGACAGGAAAGCTTAGAGAAGGCAATGATGCTGGGGAAAATGGAAAGAAAAAGGAAGAGGGGCTGACTGAGGGCAAGATGGACAGATGGTATCTTTGAAGTGACTGACTTGACTCTGAAGGAGCTGGGGGTGGTGACGGCCAATAGAGAGCCCTGGCGTGGGCTGGTCCATGAGGTCACAAAGAGTCGGAAGTGACTGAACAAATAAACAACATTCTGAAACTGTTGTGCTTTAGGTATAGCATGAGAAAACATAACTCGCTAGAAAAGGCAATAATGCTTGGTAAAGTGGAGGGCAGAAGGTAAAGAGGAAGACCATGTTCCAGATAGATTCAATCAAGGAATCCACCGCAATAAAACACAATAATAATAAATAAAGAAACCCATATTTAACTATTCCCAAACCCAATGTGTTGTCAAGGACTTTCATGGCCAGAATCACTGGGATGCTATGAGTTTTCCGGGCTGTATGGCCATGTTCCAGAAACATCCTTTCCTGATGTTTCACCTGCATCTATGGCAAGTATCCTCAGAGGCTCTGAGGTCTGTTGGAAACTAGGCAAGTGAGCTTTATATGTATATCTGTGGAATGTTTGGGGCGGGAGATAGAACTCTTGTCTGTTTGAGGCAGGTGTGAATGTTGCAATTGGCCACCAAAACCAGTTGCCCATAAAGGCCTTGTCTCCATCCTAGCTCTGGGTTGATGATGTAAAGATCCCTTACCTTGCTAGCCAGGGTGGCAGGGCCAGGAAAAGTCAGGCTAGGTAGTTTAGCTTGGAGGGGCCTGGCAGAGTGCTGCTGGAGCCATTTTAGAGTAGGGAAAAATCTCCAGTGCAGAAGGGGGAGTGGCTGAGGCCTGTGCCAGCCCAGCAACAGCTAGGATTGGTTTAGAGAATAGGGGCGGAGTTAGCCAGAAGGAGGGAAAGAGAACAGTGAGTTTTGACAGTTTTAGAGTTAGTTCAGCTGAGTTATGAGAAGAGTAGAGAGCAGTTTTAGTTCAGTGCTGAGAGAGATTGGAGAGGGAATTAGCTTTGTCTAGGAGTCTCTGTTTTAGAATAGGCAGCTTGCCTTTAGTCTGCACAGACAAGTAGGCTGTGGCAGACTGAGTTGCAGCTATTGTGAGAAAAATAGCTGGGTTCTGTGTTTATTGAAACTGTAACTAAGAAAGAACATTCTCTCTAGAAACCAATACGCTTATAAGAAACAAGAACACTTCTATCTGTAACCATCAAGCCTCAGTACCTGCATTCTCGTGTTGTTCTGTAATTTATGATCAATAAACTCTTTCTTATTATTTTTAAACTTAAAGCCTGAGTCAAGTGCTATTTTTGGTTTTGAGTCCCTTTCTTTTTGAAACAACCTCTCCTGTTTTCCCCTCAGAGAAAGCCCTTGATTATATACAGCCTTGTGGTGATTTTTTAAAAAGCCTCTTAGTACTTTAAACAGCATTTTACCATTTTAAAAGAGCTAGAGAGTTCGTGATTTCTTTAATATGGTGGCAGCGAAAGTTTTACACAACGTGACATCCCCTCAAACCCTGTAAAAGCCTCTTTTGAGTTATCATAATTGGATTTTGCAGTGGTGGGATTTCTTTGATTGTTTCCCCCCTGCCTTGAGGAGTCTGCTAAGGCCTTATAATTGGTTGCAGCAGGTGGGATATTGATTAATCACCCATACCTCTAAGTTCTTTATAGATGATATGTCTGGTTACATCTCATCTAAGTAGACTCCCTTTTATTTCATCAAATATATGAGCTCTACCAGGATAGTAGAGGATGGCCTGTTACAGAAAACTACCATAAAATAGCAGAGCATTCAAAAATAAACAGGATACATACAGTTGAGCAAATAGCTTAGGAGGCAAACATGCAGAGTCCAATCTTAAAAATCACAAAAGATTTATTTACAATAATAAGAAATAACTGCATTTCTTAATAATCAAGAAGCAGGTCTGAGCTACTCGAACACCCATCTCTTCTAAGGTTTCAAGGGAAGGAAAAACTTAATCACTACATCTCTCTTGACACACAAGCAGAAAGAGATCTCAAAGCACACAGCACATACTCTCCTTACTAAAATGTAAGAAGGCAGAAGTCAGGTTCAGTAGAAAAGTATCCATTTTAAACAATTAATTAGAATGAGAGCAGAAAGAGAGAAGAGATAAGAAAAATATACATTCCCAACTGTCATACAGGAGACATGGAGGGAGGGAATTCCCCTAGCTTATACTAAGCTAACTAAGCCGTTCCCTATGGAGGACTTGAGACTTGGGCAGTGTGGGGTTGAATTCCAACAGGCCAACAAAGAAGGCATCCCAGTGATTAAGTAGGTGTGAGTGGCAACCATGGAAGCTGAAAGCAGAGGGAGTATGACTTACAATGAAAAGACTGTTTCTGATTGTTTCTAACTTCAACAGAAAGACAATGGCACAGTAGCTACCTCCCAGGGTGCTAAAAGAAGTTGGCTCACTCTAGCTGTGATGCCTTTTTGACTGAACTGAAGTCAAGAAGGTGTTCTTTATGAAAAGAGTGCTGACAGCAGAAGGGAAATCTAAGAGACATTCTACCAACTTCTACTACTGCATTGTCATCCTTCTCTCATCTCTGAATTTGGCATCTTATATGGAAAATCATTGCCCATTCCATAGACCAGCTAAAACCAGTTGCTGCTGGAATCAAAAGACCACTCTAGCTGTGGAGTTCAAACTTCTTCTATTGTTTCTCTTCACATCTGGCACCCTAATGAAGAGTTGTACCCTTTTCAGAATCCCTTCATGATGCCACTGGATGATTCACAGCATGTGTAAGAACCCTAGTTTCCAATGTAAGTTTTTCACTGGTATGAAATGAAATAATGTCTCCTTCTCAAAATAAGGACAACCATCTCCCAAGTTCCTTTGGACTCACCAGGCAGACACAGACCGTACAGTTGTCCGCAGAAAGAGAGAAAACTTCTCCCTCGATTCTGGAAATCCCATAATAGAGGCAGCCTACAGGAAACAGGAATGCGAAGATTCCCATCAGAGGGACAGAGGTTCATGGCTGAACAGACCCCCATTTCAGCTTTCCATTCTGAATAAATAAAAATCCAATGCCCTAAATATGCATTCAATTCAAATTAATTTGGCCATAATTAGTTGAACTGAGATAAGGGAAAGGGCCCTAGCACACATCTTCCTAAGCAAAATGAGCACATCTTGGACACAGTATCCCTTTTCTCATCCTCCCTCCATCTCCAAATGTTGGGACCAGAGAAGACCATTAGCCAGGCAAGACAACACAGCCTTCTCTCGCCCCTACCAGTCTCACAAGCTTGCCTGGTTAGTACAAGGGAGAGAGCCTTTTCCGCTGTGGCTCCCCGGCTCTGGAACTCATTGCCTGGAGAAATTAGGAAAGCCCCTTCCCTAGAAATTTTTTAAAAGAACATCAAAACCTGGCTCTTCCGCTGCGCCTTTGATGAGTAGGTATACAATTTCATATTATTGCTCAGCCTCAAGTTCTGTCATCGGAGTATTTGTCCCCCCTTCTTGGGAAAGCCTGCTTCCACACACACCCACACCCCCCCCCCCATAACTGAGCTCTCCTCCACAAATTACCTGCTTCTCTCCTTTATCTCGCCCGAGTTTTTAATTAGTTTTAATCAGTTTGTCTTTTAATCATTACAAGTAGCCCACCCATTATTATTGTGTCTGTGCTTATTGTAATTTTTACATTGTTATGTATGCATATGTTTTATGTTAATATGATGCTATTGTTTATTGTTCATGTCTTTGGTTTGTGTTTTGGTTTTTTCTTTCTTGTAATTGTTGTTTGGGCTTGGCCTCGTGTAAGCCGCTCCGAGTCCCCATCGGGGAGATGGTGGCGGGGTATAAATAAAGATTATTATTATTATTATTATTATTATTATTATTGAACAGGAAGGAGCATCTCTCACCTCTGCAACTGGGACAGCACTCCCCTTCTGCTGCTGGAATAGGGTGGGAGCAGGTAACCTCGCACATCATGGCTTGACACCGCACTTGCCCACCCTGCAACAAGAAAAGACAGGCTTCCCTAAAGACAGCAGAACAGGCACATTAACTGCAGCTGGAAAGAAAGCAATGAATCCAGTATAGGCCACCTACCTCACAGGAGCAATTTAGACACCCCTGTTTTATCCAGTGGCTGCCATTCTCATGAAGAGACCCTTCATACCAGCAGGTTGCAGGCAAGGATGGAAGTGAAATCGATGGAGCCGAGGGACTTGGAGGAATGGATGTTGCAATCTCTTCTTGCAGCAATGAGGGTGGCAGTGGGCTCGTTGTCACCAAAGGCCTGGCAGTCCTCAGCAAGAAGGGTGTGCCAAAGAAAGCAGTTGGGAGAGGAGGAGAAGGGGTGGGAGAGGATGACTGTCGAAGCAGCAAGCGAGTGAAAGGGGACGGGGAAGGAGGTGGAGTCCTGGGTGCGCTGTGTGGAGCAGGAGCCCAGGAAGGAGGAGAGACCCTTGGAGATCCAGCAGGTGATTCTGGAGAAAGGCGCAACAGAGTTGGTGGGTGCTGGAGAGACTGCAAGATGGGAGAAGGGCCCAGACTAGTCTTTGAAAAACCTATGGAATTAAGAAGGGAGGAGGAAGGCATTGATAAGTTCAGAAGTTCCCTTGAGATCTATGACCCAAATATGGTTTCCTCCAACATGTTCGGGAGCCCCATAGCGGAATCACTTGCTCATGAAGGATTCCAACAACTAGATGAAAAGGGTTGCTATTCATGCTAATTATATACACTTCTCCAGGCAGATCAAGAAGGAACAATGCCTTCCTTCACATCATCTGACCATAAAAAAAAATAAAAGTACCAGAGATAAAAACATCTTGAGGGTGAAGATTTGTATTGATAGAGGGGTTATAATATGGCCTGTGTCTCCACCACTCATCCTTTTTGTTTTTCATCTGGCTGAATACATATCCCTCACAGTCTTCGAGAGAAAAAGTTCAGGCCACAATGAATAGTTGCTATTTTCTATATGGCAGTGGTTCTCAACCTGTGGGTCCCCAGATATTTTGGCCTACAACACCCAGAAATCCCAGCCAGTTTACCATCAATTAGGATTTCTGGGAGTGGCAGACCAAACATTTGGGGACCCACAGGTTGAGAATCACTGCTTTTAGGTTGTGTTTCTGAGGAAGACCATTGCAGTCAAACAGGAATGCTTTACTTCTAGGAACATTCAAGGTTTCTCTCCTTCAAACTTCTATTGTTTCTCCTCACAATAATTGAGCAGTTAACAAAGAATTTTAAAGAATGTAGAATTTTGCAGAGAAAAATACAATTTAAACCAGAATATTTTTATTAGGAATGATAAACCTAAAACTAGATTAAAAAAATAAAGATATTTTCTTCAATTACTTAACTAAAGCAGCCAGACCAGTTTATGCTCAACACTGGAGAACTACAGAAATCTCAACAAAGGAATGGTTAATAAAGATGATGGAAAATATGAGCATGGACCAGATAACACAACAATTAACATATCGACAAAACAATCCCAAAAAAGACATAGATGGGTCACTATTGATTAATAACATGGAACAAGAAAAAAATAAGATGCTATTATGAACTTACAAGGTGGAGGGAAAACACCCTTTGGACTACAGAAAGGTGGAGGAAGTAGGATATAAGAAGCAAACAGACATTACAGAATTTAATACCACGATGTAGAGGTTTGGAACTTAACCAAATACCCCCCCCCCCCACCTTTCCCCCTGTTTTCCCTTCTATTTCCCCTCTTCTTAATCCATTTTATTATGTTATTTAGAAAATATTTAATAAAAACTATTTTTAAAAAAGAATTCCACTGAATGTAGATGTGATGATTAAAATGTAATCAAGGCAGTATAATTGGGTAGTGTAAAAGATACTCAGGTATCACTAATATTTGTGCCGCCAATAAATGCAACCAACCCAATTACCACTTACTGATATCATTTTAGTATCATTTTTAAAAGCTGTCTTGTTAAAGAAATGATGTTTTTTCTATTTTTAATTTTTCTTAGAATTTTAGAGGTTGAAATCTCTCATAATTAGAAGAACTTACATATCCTTTAAAAAAAATGAAGTGTAGCACTGGTGTGATCCTGTTGTATTATAGTTCCAGACAAGGTACCTCTGAAATTGTTCTGCTCTGCCCTTGGCTGAGACTCTCAGTCCTCAATCCCAGAATGACTGTACCATTGTAGACTTACCACAGATAGCCCTTACCTTCACATGACACTCGATCCCCGCTGAGATGGTACCCTGGCCGACAGCTGCATATGAAACTCCCCAGCGTGTTGTGACAGGAGTGCTGGCAGGTTCGTTTCTCACTAGGTCGGCGGCATTCATTTACATCTGCACCAGATGCACAGGATGCTAGAGATTTACATCAGGGCTGGATAGGCTCAAGCTTGTGTCTGTACAGCCATCGCCATAACTTGGCCATACAAGGTGAAAAGGGGGATTGCAAAAGAATGGAGCTGGGATATTGTTTTCATGATTAAAAGAGATTTGCAGCAGCTTTGAGGATCCTTTGGAAGGAAATGCATTCCATAACAATGCTATGAACCAGCACAGCAGCTGGGTAGTGAACACACACCTACTATGACATTCTTTTATTTTTCCTATTTCTTGTCTAATAGAAAGAGGAATTAAGGAGTTACTGATCCCACTGAGATCTCAGGGAATTTGCCATTCTTAATTTTTTACAGGAAGTAAATATTTTCTCCTGACATTAAGTCCAGTCATGTCCGACTCTGGGGGGTTGGAGCTCATCTCCATTTTTAAGCCAAAGAGCCGGCGTTGTCTATAGATATCTCCAAGGTCATGTGGCTGGTATGACTGCATGGAGCACCGTTACCTTCCCACCGGAATGGTACCTATTGATCTACTCACATTTGCATGTTTTCAAACTGCTAGGTTGGCAGAAGCTGGGGCTAACAACGGGAGCTCATATCATGTGGCCGGCATGTGATTACATGTCATGTGGCCGGCATGACTGCATGGAGCACCGTTACCTTCCCGCTGGAGTGGTGCCTACTGATCTACTCACATTTGCATGTTTTTTAACTGCTAGATTGGCAGAAGCTGGGACTAACATCGGGAGCTCATGCCACTTCTTGAATTCAAACCTGCAACCTTTCGGTCAGCAAATTCAGCAGCTCAGTGCTTTAACCCACTGTGCCACCAGGGGCTCTTCTTTACAGGAAACCAACTCTTTATAGATAAGACAGTTTTAAATTCGTTCTGGTTCTGAAACAGTTCAAATGTATATTCAGAATGGAAGTGAAATCATGTTCATGAGGGCCATAGTTCCCCTTTAACACTAAAGTATGTGATAGTGAAGTGGGTGAGGAAAGAGCTGTGAATTTTTATTCTGATCCTTTCATTTGTCACCTCCTGCTGCAGCTATGGGAAAGAAACCCTGCTCAGAGGCAGAGCACATGTTTTGCATGCAAATAGGCTCAGATTTTGTTCTAGGCATCTCCAATTTAAAAGGATCAAGTAACAGTTGATTAGAAAGGTATTTACCTGGGATGCTTAGGAAACTAAGACCAGTTAGAGCAAATGAAACTGAACTAGATACAAGAGTGTACCTACAAGGAGGGTAGCTAGGCACAGTGGGGATTGTGCTTCTCAATTTGCATTTTCCTTCATCTTCAAATTCTTTGTATTGCAGTAACTCAAAATCTCAATAAAGCAGTTAAAATAATGGTAGGTATACAAAGTGAAAAAAGAATGCAAATACACATATATAAGAGTTCTAAGTGTGAATATTTTTCAAAGTCTCACTTTCTGCAAGGGAAGAAATTTGGGGACTAAATTTAGTTGGGCAGAATTCTTATTAGAGGGAGATACCCTTATTTCGCCCTTCACCTATAAGTATACATTTGGGAAGATAGATAGACAGTCTAGCCTAGCATCAAGCAGGGCTCCTAAATCCACTGAATTGTAAGACAGGGAAAGGACGATGTTACAGTAATTTCAGCTGCCCAGTCAGCCAGAGTCTCCTACATTCAGAAAACATTATAAAGGAATAGGGAAAACCTAACATTCCATCCATATACATGATAGCCATTTTATTTTGTTGTTGAAAGTGAAAGAACCTTTCCCATTATTAGTTTACTGTACTATGCAAAGCTCTCTCTTTTGATTTTAGGCTCCTAGTAAAAGAACTGTGTTAGAAAACAACGTGTTAATCCATCTTGATCCTAATCGACACAATATTATCACATGTAGTGGTTCCCAACCTTTGGGCCTCCAGGCGTTTTGGACTTCATCGCCTACAAATCCAAACAGCTGGTAAGATGGCTGGGGTTTCTGGGAGTTGAAGTCCAAAACACCTGGAGGCCCAAAGTTTGGGAACCACTGGCACATCAAAATAGAATATGCTACCATTACATTTATATAACATTTTCTGGATTGCTCAGACAGGAATCGAAAGGCAGCCTTGTGTGATAGTAGCACCTGGGAGATGAAATGCTGGTGTGTGCAATGTGGCCAACCCTGAACGTGAATGAAACCTGGTGGTTCCAAATGCAGTGGAAAGCTCTAACATTGTATTCCCAAACTCTGGTCTTCCAGATGTTTTGGACTTCAGTTCCTAGAACTCTTGATCACTGGCCAAGGCAGCTGAAGCTTCTGGGAGATGAAGTCCAATACACTTGGAAGACCAGAGTTTGGGGAAAACTTCTCTAACCTAATGCCAGTATTAAAGGAAGGTTCAACTGCTAGTCTAGTCAACTTCTGTAGATGTAATGGAAATGAGTGCCAAAACACCTTCATCAAAATGACTTTAATCAGCCCTACAAATAGCTACCGTCACATGGTATTCAGTCTCAGACAAATAGACCTATTGCTGTTTCTGTTGTCACTGGGCTACTCTTGCCTACTAAAGTCTTAGGCTTTGAAAGTAACACGTTTCGACAAAATTTTGGAAATTAAATACATAAAACAATTTGAGTTTCAATTCAAAATTATTGTGCAGATAATTTTGTTGTCAATGATTTGTAGGTTATTATATTTTCTTGTTTTTTCTACTCAAATGTAATTTGGAGACAGGATGAATTTTTCTTCAAGTGGCATCAGTGTTAGCTGACTGCCTCCAGATTGGGAGTTAATGTATTTCTCCTTAGCCTCCCAATAAATGAAGGGACACTCACCCACGCAGGAGTGCCGGTTTCCATGGAGGTAGAAGCCAGCATGGCAGGAACATCTATAGCTGCCAATGCTGTTCTTGCAGTGATGCTGGCAGGGTGTTGCTAAGCACTCGTCTGTGTCTGGGGTTGAAAATGGTTAACAGTACTGTCAGTATCAGTCGCCCCCACAAAAATTATTTTCCCACCAACTCACTTCCCAACATTTCTTTTTATTTTGAGCCTCCACAACTACATATTTTCTCTTCCAGTCTCACTCAAACTTACCTAGGCAGCTGTGCCGGTCAGCCGACAGTTGCATCCCAGAGCCACATTCACAGACAAAGCCACCTTCCGTGTTCACACAAAGCCCTTCACAGGAGGCACTCAGGCACTCATCGATGTCTGAGGAAAAGAAAATGTTGAAGTACAAATGGGAAGAGAGAGACTGGATTTGGTGCTAACAGAAAGAAAGTTTCCCAAGGAGGGTGATTAATTGTGATATCTAAAGCATAAAGCTTGTTTGTTAAGTGACTGTAAGCAGGAGTGGTTTGAGTGTTGGCATGCTACTCTGAATAACAGGGTTCAAATCACTGTTGAGCCATGAAAATCCACTGGGTGAACTTGGGGAAACTCCACATTCTCAGGACCAAAGAAACCTGTGATACGTTTGCCTTAGGATCTTACTTACCTACTTAGGTGATTCCTCATAGCCCAAGATGATAGTCCTCCAAGTGCAGTGGTGGTGGGTCCGTAGGTGGCTGTTGAGCCCAATTCTTGATCCGCATGTTCTCCCACAGTGAGGACATCGGTTTCCAGGTGGAAGATGGTCCTGGTCAAAGTTGGCTTGACGCACCTTCCTCTTGGTATGTTTCTCCCTTTCACCCTCCATTTGTGCTTCTTTGAATTCTGCAGCACTGCTGGTCACAGCTGACCTCCATTTTTCTTGGGAGATGTCTGTGCATGAGTTTTTTTAATGTGTGGAGGTCGGTGCACAGCTGATTAACACACAGTCTTCATAGAGTGAGGTCCCAACCAGTAGCATGGTTAACACGACAACGGTGGCTTCTCAATCTGTTGCAGCCTTCTTCTGCATTCACAGCCATTGTAACATGTACCATGTTATTCTCCGCCTGCTCTGCCATTGAGGTCTTTGGATTGTGCTTGGTCTGGATCCACCCCTGTGGTCCCTCCACGCAAGTCACCTCACCACGACAAGATGGCAATCCATCTTAGGATCACCATAAGTCAGAAATGCCTTGAAGGCAAACAAACAGCAAAAACCAAAATTTGCAAGGATATTTTCATAAAAATAATTCTGTCCACTACATGAAATTTTCCTTCAGTCCCTGGATCTCTAACATTTCAGAGATTAAGACACTAAAATTGTCTGTGCAAAATATTTTTCGTATTATCTTGGTAAACTGCTTTTCTTTGGACTATCTGAACACTCAACTGAAACTGAGTTACAGCAATGCTTTAGGACAGCAGGTTAATCACCAGCTGCAACTGCAGTAAATCTTGCCTATCAAAAGATTAACAGTTCAAAGCTGGGTCAGGGTGAGTTCCTGATCTTCAGTCCAACTCCTTGTCCACCTAGCAGATCGAAAACAGCAATGTGAGTAGATAAATAGGAAGTGCATTAAAGCAGGGAGGTGTTTTAGGCATGGTGTTTCAATCAGAAAAAGGAGGAAAGTTTATGAACAAAGAAAGCTCTTCAGGAGATGGAGTGACAGCACTCCTTGTGGCCGGAACTGAGCAAAGCCTCCAAAGATGCTGTTGGGGTTCAGCCTCCGTGTGAACCTGACCCTCAGCCTCTGTGTGAACCTGACCCTCAGCCTCCGTGTGAACCTGAACCTGATTCTTTGATTGTATTTCCTGATGCAACTGAACAGGCTACTGAACATGTATTTTCCCTGATGGTTTGGAAACTGTTGATTCTGAGGGCAGTGGCTGGGAAAGTGAAACTAAACATCCTGATGAGGATGTTTCAGAATCAAGCGGTGATAACTCTCCAGAGGAGTTAACACCTGCCTTTTTAATGAGGATAGAAGAAGGCAGATTTGGGAAAACAGGAGTGAATCACAGAGTCTGCGAAGGTCAAGTAGATTAAAGGAAAAGGAGGCTTCCAAGCCTGGAGGCGTGTCCCGAAACAGTTTCTTTAGTTTAAAGTGTCTTCCCCCGGGCTGTCTTGTTAGATCAAGCATCGTTTAGACTGAGGCATTACCTTGGCTGAGTTCCCGTTTCCCATGGCCTGCATTCCCAGAGGCTTCTAGTTCCAAGTACGGTTAGTGAGATACTAACAGGTTCCAAGTTTTTATAGTGTTGCTTTTGGAATTTTGATCTAGTTCAGAGATATTCCTGACTGCTGAGTTTTACTGTGGCTTTTTGACTTTGCATTTTCCTCTATTTTGTAACCATTTTTTCATCAATAAAAAAGGATTGTTTTTCCCTCAGTCAAGTGTGGTGGATTTAATTAGGCCTGTGCGGTTTCGTTCGTTAATTCGTTAATTCGTTAAACATTCGTTAATTTTTGCATATACGAAACGATAACAAAACATATTTTCAAACCCGGAAGGGTTTTTAAATATCGAAACGGCAGGCGCCAAAAAATTTTGTATTTCCGTCCATTTCGGAAATACGTAAGATGGCCGCCTGGCTTGCTGGGAGCTCTCCTCTCTCTGCGCCGGCTGAGCAAGCGAGCGAGAGGGCGAGCGAGAGGGCGAGGGCGAGCGGCGAGCGAGAGGGCGAGTGAGAGGCGGCGAGCGAGAGGGCGAGCGGCGAGCGAGAGGGCGAGTGAGAGGGCGAGCGGCGAGCGAGAGGGCGAGGGAGAGGGCGAGCGGCGAGCGAGAGGGCGAGTGAGAGGGCGAGCGGCGAGCGAGAGGGCGAGCGGCGAGCGGGGAGTGAGAGGGCGAGCGAGAGGGCGAGCGAGAGGGCGAGCGAGAGGGCGAGCGAGAGGGCGAGCGAGAGGGCGAGGGCGAGCGGCGAGCGAGAGGGCGAGTGAGAGGGCGAGCGGCGAGCGAGAGGGCGAGCGGCGAGCGAGAGGGCCCGCCAGAGTGAGTGCCTGCCTTCCCTTAATTTCTCCTCCCTATTCTACTAAATTATTTAATAATTAAATTTAAAAAATATTTTAAAAATATTGAAAAAAAAAAGGCCCCATCTTTACAAAATGTTTTGTTAATATTTACGAAATTTCGTAAATACCGAAACTTTTTTTTGGAAAGTTTTGTAATTATTTTAAATATCGAAACAAAAAAACACCCCAATTACAAATCGATTTTAGAAACAAATTTTTTCTTGATCAAACAGGCCTAGATTTAATCTTATAGTCTCGTTTCCTGATCTGGGATACAACAGATGCCAAAACGTTGGGAAATAGCCTATATATACTTCTATCTGTTGCCTGTCTTGTCATTGTATAACTGTCATTGAGTGTTTGCCATATATGTATTCTGTGATCTGCCCTGAGTCCCCTTCTCACAAAAAGAGAGTCTTCAACCTCAGCAAGATGGAGTGGATGAGGGATTGGAGGAAATCCAACCCCAAATTGGGAAAGAAGTCGTCCAGGAATACCTGGCCGCTCTTAATGAGTTCAAGTCCCCAGGGCCAGATCAACTACACCCCAGAGTATTGAAGGAACTAGCGGAAGTCATTTCGGAACCATTGGCAACCATCTTTGAGAGTTCTTGGAGAACGGGAGAAGTTCCAGCAGATTGGAGGAGGGCCAATGTGGTCCCAATCTTCAAGAAGGGAAAAAAGGATGACCCAAACAACTACCGTCCGGTCAGCCTCACGTCGATACTGGGCAAGATTCTGGAAAAGATTGTTAAGGAAGCGGTCTGCAAACACTTAGAAACAAATGCAGTCATCGCTAATAGTCAACATGGATTTATCAAAAACAAGTCATGCCAGACTAATCTGATCTCTTTCTTCGATAGAGCTACAAGCTGGGTAGATGCGGGGAATGCCGTGGATGTAGCGTACCTGGATTTCAGTAAGGCCTTCGACAAGGTCCCCCATGACCTTCTGGCAAGGAAACTAGTCCAATGTGGGCTAGGCAAAACTAAGGTGAGGTGGATCTGTAATTGGTTAAATGGACGAACCCAGAGGGTGCTCACTAATGCTTCCTCTTCATCCTGGAAAGAAGTGACGAGTGGAGTGCCGCAGGGTTCCGTCCTGGGCCCGGTCCTGTTCGACATCTTTATTAATGACTTAGATGAAGGGCTAGAAGGCATGATCATCAAGTTTGCAGACGACACCAAATTGGGAGGGATAGCCAATACTCCAGAGGACAGGAGCAGAATTCAAAACGATCTTGACAGATTAGAGAGATGGGCCAAACCTAACAAAATGAAGTTCAACAGGGACAAATGCAAGATACTCCACTTAGGCAGGAAAAACGAAATGCAAAGATACAGAATGGGAGACGCCTGGCTCGAGAGCAGTACATATGAAAAAGATCTTGGAGTCCTCGTGGACAACAAGTTAAACATGAGCCAACAATGTGATGTGGCGGCAAAAAAAGCCAATGGGTTTTGGCCTGCATCAATAGGAGCATAGTGTCTAGATCTAAGGAAGTAATGCTACCCCTCTATTCTGCTTTGGTTAGACCACATCTGGAATATTGTGTCCAATTCTGGGCACCACAATTCAAGAGAGATATTGACAAGACTGGAATGTGTCCAGAGGAGGGCGACTAAAATGATCAAGGGTCTGGAGAACAAGCCCTATGAGGAGCGGCTTAAGGAACTGGGCATGTTTAGCCTGAAGAAGAGAAGGCTGAGAGGAGATATGATAGCCATGTAAATATGTGAGAGGAAGCCACAGGGAGGAGGGAGCAAGCTTGTTTTCTGCTTCCTTGGAGACTGGGACGCGGAACAATGGCTTCAAACTACAAGAGAGGAGATTCCATCTGAACATGAGGAAGAACTCCTGACTGTGAGAGCCGTTCAGCAGTGGAACTCTCTGCCCCGGAGTGTGGTGGAGGCTCCTTCTTTGGAAGCTTTTAAGCAGAGGCTGGATGGCCATCTGTCAGGGGTGATTTGAATGAAGTATTCCTGCTTCTTAGCAGGGGGTTGGACTGGATGGTCCATGAGGCCTCTTCCAACTCTATGATTCTATGATTCTACCTTGGCTAGTTTACTGCAAATAAATAAATAAATAAATAAATAAATAAATAAATAAATGCTAATAGGCAGGGGACTGAAGTAAAATGTCTTTAGGGGCACAATTTTTATTTAGAAGACAACAGTTTTATTTTGCCCTTTCTTATTGTACCATTGTATCTAGTTTAGTATTATACAAAACAGGGAATAAACAGCAAATATGAGAGCATTCAGTATACATGATTTTCTAAGTTTTGGTGACTGAAGGAAAACTTTATAGGGTACATAATTCTTATTCAAGTGGGCAATCCCTCATAACTACACACCAAATGCTACACAAGTATAGCACTATGGTTCCACTTTAACATCCACGGCTGCATCTTGTGGTATTATAGTTTGCGATGACATCATAGGAGCCCTTTGACTGATAATTCTAAAGAGCCCTTCCTAAACTAGAAACTTCCTAGGCTTCCATAGGATGGTACCATGGAGTCAGAGTACTATAATTGTGTATTGCAAAAGAATTTCAAGAAATTTCTGTTTTATTTATCTGCCAGTTATTTCACAATCTCAAGCAATGCTCAGCAAGCACATCAGGCAATTTTCTTCCCCACTTGAGGTTTGCAGTGACACGAGGGAAATTAAATCAACACTAAACATGAAGAACAGTTTACATTAAAGTTCCACCACACACTGACATTCACTGCTTAAAGCTATTTAAAATTGTTTCTGCATGTGGCAGACATATTGTGTGGATCACTCTTAATTTTCTCAGAAACAGTTCCTGCATAGAATCCCAGAGGTTTCTGTATTCAACTGCACTGAGAGACTGGGTGTAATTTAAATTGTTCAGCAATTATGGATACAGACAGGAAATACTACTTGGCACTCTATTTTGGTACTGCTACATGTTGTTCACTTCCGTTAAACAAGGCACCCACCTATTAACAACGTTTACCTTATGACCTCATCACACTGGGCTTTTTTAGCAACCTAGTACGCTTCCCCGCCAGTCCAGCAATGGATGGACATTTATTTATTTATTTATTTATTTATTTATTTATTTATTTATTTACTTTGCTTATATACCGCTGTTCTCAGCCCGGGGACGACTCACAGCGGTGTTGCCCATCACATGATAACTGTTTTCATTTTGAGGAAAAACTCACAAAATCTCTAAGGAAAGAACAAGACAGCCCTGTATTCATCAGAAGGACGACTATAATGCACTTCCTCCTGTTGGTAAATACATGGTTTTGACACTTTGGGTGGCCAAAATCTATTTCTAAGTGTCTTCACTTTGGTACACTTTCACTATTACCTTTTTGGTCTGCCGTTTGTGCCATGTTAACAATCTGTTGTTTTTCTTAGTCATTTTAACATTACCACTAAAACATGCCTACATTTAAAAATAATATTACACATTCATACAATAGTGGAAAAAGAGTGTAGCACAGATTTTAAAAATGGATTTTGTAAAATAAATATAAATACACTGTTATATTGATTTGGTGCTGGTCATCAACCATAATAAATAATTATATACTGTTATATTGAAAGGCTAGTCTTCCCCCTTTCAGCTATGTTCTGTTTACTGGTGAGGATGGTTTCCATGTTTGAGAAGTGCTAAACACCAGTAGTAGTAATAGTATTGCTTATTTAACACCATGTGCTTTATAGTAAAACAACCAGAAAGAGTGGGATCCTACCCAAAGGCATGTAATTTAAAAGATATAAGTATACACCTACTTGAACAGAGGAAAGGAGGAATAACATTAAATATCTGTTTTAATTGTATGTTGTTTTTATGGCATTGAATTGTTGCCTATGTGTAAAGCCGCCTTGAGTCCCATTTGGGGTTATAAGGGCAGGGTACAAATATGATAAATATAACATTCCAAAGTGGTTTACAATTTCACATGAAGGTTATGGTGGAAGAGCAATGGAGATTGCAAAAGGTCCTAGAATATGCCTGGGAATAACTGCAAAGTTCGGTTTGGGCTGGATTGCTGTGCAGAAGAAACCCAGTTTTCTGGTTTACCTGTACAACGTACACCATTGGCCGTCTCCGTCATGGAGAACCCCAGAGGGCACACCCGTGCCATTTCCTGGCAGCCCCCATGATTGCAGGCCAGGTCACAGCCATACTCTCCACAGGCCCCAGGAGGGTCTGAAAAGACAAGAAGGACAGGCATCAAGGTAGCTTTTCAAAATCGGGTACCCACCTGGAGAGCCTTTGCACATTGTGGAATTTTAATAAATCTTTCAAACTGTAGTATGCTGTTGCCCAACTAGCTTAGCTAAAGATTTGCACACAGTCCTTTCTTCATGCACAGAATTGAGCCCATCAAAACTGGAGAATTTGCACCATTGTCTTCTACTTGGAGATGACCCATGGAAACTAGAGACTCAAGGCTAGACCCTGAGATCTGGCTGCTCCAGTGTCAGCACATAGCCGCGAGCTTCCAAAGGGTTTCAAGTAATGAAGTACTAGATCCAAAATTTCTCCCTGTGCAGAAAAGCTATAAGGCAAGTGATTACTACAGTCACAAGACCAGAACAGAAGTGTGAAAGGCAGAATTACAATCCCAGATCCATAATGATGAAATAAACCATGTGGCTTTAGCAGAAAATAAAGATAGGGTGAAAAACCCTCAGACATTTCCACATAAGGTGGATACTGTGGAGAGGCCCTGTCATCAGAGCTCAAAAACCACAGGGAAAGGCTGGATAGTGGGACAAAATGAATGTCAGCAGTCATTGTGAGCAAACAAGGGGGTCTAGTGCTGTGTTTTTCATTCTGTTGTTTTGCAGAGGGGATTCGGGGAGGGGGGATATATATACTCTGACTATTGCACCATAATCCAATGAATTAGCACCAAAAACAAAAAAAACCACCCCTCAAACTGCATTGAACTCTACATGGGCATCATTGCAAAACATATTATTACATAAACTGGAACTCATCCAGATTGTTACAACATGTTTTCTAAATCCTTGTTCTGACTGTGTAGGACATAAATTGGTTCTCGTCATATAGTGAACATCATGAAGCTATTTCCCATTAAAGCTATCGCCTTTCTTCTCTCTCTGTCTAGTCCATCTGAAGGATATTCATTTAACTTTCCTCGCCATTCTGATTTTTGTAGGACTATTCAAAGGGAAGACATCTTAATAATTTGCTTGGAGCACCAAAATGTTGAAGGCTGGCTCTAGGGAGAAGTGAGGTAGAGCTACTGTTGGCAGGGTTCCTTATGGCAAAGCAAGCTGTCTTGCACAGCAGTGATCAGTCCCTGCAGACAGATGCTGGCTATGGTTCAACTACCCCATGCCTAGTACTCTCCAATGCCAAAAGGAAGCAAGCCAACACTGAGCAGTTCCACTCCTTAAAGAGAAAAACAACTTTAGAATGACTCCAGCCAATAACTGATGGTGATGGTGATGATGGTATATTTTTCACAATGTCATTTCACACTAGCAAATAAATTCAAATGATGGTATTGAATTTGCAGACCGCAGATGTATCTTCACATTACAGAAAAAGGACACCGGAGCACAGTAGCATATTGAAATCACAGGTGGAAAGAACTGAATTTGAGGTTTAAACCAAGTATAACATCTCCTCTGGCAACCTGTACCATGCAGGTCTTAGGGCAGGAGTGAATAATCTGTGGCTCATCAAATGATATTAGAGCTATCCTTGACTAGAAGTTATACTAGCTGAGCTAGTTGGGAGACTGAAGCCAATATCTGAAGGGCCTCAAGTTCCCCATCCCTGACTAGTATTTCCATAGACTCCATATTAATTGGACTAAATTAGGCATTTTTAGACATGCACATGCATTAGCAGGAAAGAACAGTGTTACATTCTTGATATATAATGCAAATTATCTCCTCTCCTAAAAGCTACTCTTTCTCCCTCCCATTTTTTTCTGTCATTTAGAATGTTGGTCAGTGCAGTTTGCCTTAAGCAGAGAGTTGTATTCTGCCATGGTAGGGAAAACTGCACTGGCAGAATTTCTTTCTAGGTAGATATTCACCTAGATATAGTACAGCGGGCACATGTTTTCCAGCAACCATGGGTCATTGCACCACATATTAGTCAATAGTGGTGACATTAACTTGAATAACATTTAATAATATGGGGCATGATCATCCATGTTTTTCTGTACCCATGGCAGGTCCTAAAACAGAACCCTATAGATACTGCAGGTCTACTATGGTCCCAAATAATATGCCAATTTGCAAACTCTATCCTGTTTTCACGTCTGATTTCTAACATCGGATTTGAATGCCTTCCAAAAAGCCAGAAACTGAAGACCTCGCCATTCCAAACCAAATCATTGACAGCATGACACAATTAGCTTCTGATATGTAGAATTGGCTGTCTGCAAGGACGTCACCCAGGGATGTCCAGATGTTTTACCACCCTGTGTCAGGCTTCTCTCATGTCCCCACATGAAAAGCTGAAGCTGACAAATAAGAGCTCGTCCCACTACCTGGATTCAAACCGCTGACCTTTCAGTCAGCAGTACTGCCAGAACAAGGGTTTAACCCATTGTGCCACCAGGGGCTCTAGGAACCTCCAGTGGCACAATGGGATAAAACCCTTGTGCCGGCAGGACTGAAGACTGACAGGTCGTAGGTTCAAATCCAGGAAAAATGTAGATGAGCACCCTCTGTCAGCTCCAGCTCCCCATGTGGGGACATGAGAGAAGCCTCCAACAAGGATAATAAAACATCAAACATCTGGGTGTCCCCTGGGCAACGTCCTTGCAGATGGCCACTTCTCTCACACCAGAAGCACCTTGTAATTTCTCAAGTCGCTTATTACATAAAAAAAAAAAACAGGGGCTCTCACATCAGAAGCAACTTGCAGTTTCTCAAGTCGATTCCGAATCACACACACACACAAAAGCATCACACAACATACTCCTTACCTTGACATGTAATGCCCTGCCCTCCTTCTCTACAGGAACATAGGTTGGGAGCAATGCAGAAGCCGCTGCCACAGCCAAAGGAACAAAGTGCTGGTAGAGTGTCAAGCAAACATTAGTCAGATCAGGTGAGAATTAGACATTAGGGATCATATTGCAAACACATATTGAATAATGGAGTACGCCAAGGAATTTCAGGAGAAAATCAGTCTGTGTTTTATCAATTATACCAAAGTCTTTGTGAATGAATGGATGAATGAATGAATTGTTTATTTTACAAGCCACAGGCCATGACATCAAATAATATACAACCTTTAAAAGTACAATAAGCACTTTCCAATACAAACATTAAAACTTATTCCATATACTGCTGTTTTAAAATTATAGTAGCAGTGTCATGATAACAATAACAATAACAAATGTCTGATTTGTATCATCCCAACTATCTCCATTTCCATTTCTAGGCTTTGAGAAGATCATGAAGAACTATGGCTCACTCTTAAAGAAATGGGTGTACCACAACATTTGATTATCCTAATATATAACCTATACTCAGGACAAGAGACCACTGTTAGGCAGAATATGAAAAAACAGGATGATGGTCAGGGAACACTGTATTTTATTAGCCTATCTATTTAAATTGTATGCTGAACACATAAAACCGGATTAGATTTAGAGGAAGGAGGTGTGAAAATCAGATGAAGGAACATCTGGTTTTAAAATGTTTAAGATATACAGAAGATACCATATCACCAACAGAAAATCGCAAAGACTTGGAAAAACTAATGAAGAAAATCAGTGAAGTAAGTGCAAGAGTAGGTTTAAGGTAGAATAGTAATATAACAAAAGTAATGACTACAAATGATCTACATACAGTACATTTATAGTAGACAATGAAGACCCAGAAACAGTGAAAAATGTCCTATATCTTACCTCAGTCATCAATCAAATTGCTACTGTAATAAAAAAAATCAAAGTAGACTAAGACTTTGAAGACAAGATTCTCAAGTGTAAAATTAAATTACTGAATACCAAAGTCAGGATATTTATGCATTTGTATTGCCCGTTTCTATGTACAGTTGTGAAGAAAGATGATAGGAAGCAAATCAATTGATCTGAAATATGGAGAGAGAAGAGCTCTATAAATAACTTAGACCGCCAAAAAGATAAATAGATACATCTCGGAGCAAATCAAGGCAGAGGTGTTCCAAAATTTCAGTTGACCCAAAGAGCTATTAAAATGCTAGTTTTGGCCAACAATGCCCTAAAGCCTGTGGTCCAGAATATTTGAAGGACCGTATTTTATGTATGAGCAGATGAGAGCTCTAAGGCCCCTCCTACACGGCCATATAAAATCTGCTTTGAACTGGACTATATAGCAGTGTAGACTCATATAATCCAGTTCAAAGCAGATAATGTGGATTATCCTTCTCTGGTGGCAGTGTAGAAGGGGCCTAAGATTGTCTGGAGAGGCTCTTCTCTCTGTCCCAACACTTCTCAGGCAGGGACTTCCTGGTAGCTGCTCCCGGACCTGGGCTCCTTCCCTAGAATGGCTAGACTGACCCTGTCTTTGTTCTCCCACATCAGCAAATCAAAATATTATTTTGTGATGGCACAAACATATTTTTACTATTCGTGGAAAGAAACGTAATGATTTACTATTTTGAGATCATATAGAGCAGGCATGGGCAAACTTTGCCTTCCAGGTGTTTTGGACTTCAACTCCCACAATTCCTAAGTTCAGAACATGGAGGGCCAAAGTTTGCCCGTGCCTGTTATAGAGAAAGGGTTTAACAAACAGGGAACAATAAAGACAGTAAAAGAAAATAAATCAAACATGGTTCTCCAAAGTGCTTAGTGAATAAATCCTCTCATCTTCAATTGCCAGCTGGTGGAAGTGAATGAGAGCAATTGGCAGTCGCAATCAAAATGCCAACAGCTGGATCTTATGTGTCATTGTATGAACAAATGAACAACTCAAGTCGGGAGCACCAGCATTGTGAACAGATGCTGCAGAATTTCATATTTGCACATCATCGTGGCTCGGTAATGCTACAATGGGAAAATCTAATTTCGTCAGATGTGGTGCCATGGCAGCATGCATGGTATAGAAGTATGATATAGAAAATCTGTGTATTCTGAGAAAAAAACTTGTCCACACATTATCCAGAAGGTTTTTACCCTTCCCCTTGTCAGCTGTCACAAAAAACCCCAATAAAAATCCTATTGCTTTTATAAAATGCTACAAAGCCAAATTGATTTTATATACTTTATCTATCTGTCTTCTCTCTAAGAATCCTGGGAATAATAGTTTGGTTACATGCTAAAACTGAGAGTTTTGGAAAGCCAGAATCTCCATAACCTTCTGGAGAAAAATGGCATTTACAACTATTTGAAAATCATAACCTTTTGGAAAAGTATAATGTTCCAGAGAATAACCAAAAAAACTCATTTAAATAACCTAGTTGTTTGTGATCTGTTAGGAACAGAGATTATGCCAATACACAAAATATAGCAGTTCTCCAGAAGTTTTTTCTTCAATTGCCCAAAAATACACCTACTCTCCCATAAAATATCTTGTTTCTATATCATACTCTCAAGAGCCAAAAATAAAGTACACTTTGTTAAAAATAATATCTCTGGTTTACTCACAACCTTCATGTATTCAGCATACATTTACATAACTTATCAATCCAGTTACAGATGGATTTGAAGTGGTTTGTCTGTGCAGATAACACAGGACATCTTTCTTACAGTCAACAGCAACATGACTTTGCTCTTAACAGTCCAAATTCTCATAGAGTCTGTCCTCTAAAATGGAGTCTGAGCTCTGAGAAGTCTCAGATCTGATTGTGTGGTCTGCAGCCCCTCCCACAAACTCAAGAAACATAGAGTAAAGGGAAGGCTGCATACCAAAACATACATATACAATACAGTAAGCAAACAGAACTATATAACAAAACAAATTACTAGTAGAGGCTTGAAGAAGGTTGCTATTTCCATCAGATATATACTTCACCCTCTTAGTTCCTTTCACAAAATTCCCATTATAATTAGGTTAAGATAATTATTATTAAGCCAATGACAAGTTGGTATCTAATTGTAGCCTAACTGGAAAATATATGTCTGCTGACCACATGGTAGATCAAGTGCTATAGCTACCTGAATCACCTGCCACTCCATCTTTGAATACTTATTATCCATTTTTAAATTCATTGAGAGTTCTTAGATTATTGTCTTCCAGGCTGAGAACAATGAAGCAAGAAGTTTCACTGTTTGAGTTCACGAGGTGAGTGAATGATGCCTCCCCCAGATTACTTACGTAGGGTGCACTGTCCACTGCCTGGAGCTGGTATCCACCCAGGACAGCAGCCACTTCCAAAACCAGAGAGGCAAACATGTGGACCAAGGCGACGTCTAGGAATATCAAGAGATGGTGTGAGAATATCTGAGAGCAGCAACAAATGCACAACTGTATTCTGCTGTAGAGCTAGTTCATGTGACTTTTCTGATCATAGAATCATAGAATCATAGAGTTGGAAGAGACCAGTCCAACTCCTTGCCAATTGCATTCAGAGTTTCAAAGTTGTTTGAATGATGTGCTCAAATTGCAAGTTGGCATGCAATCATTTAACCCTCATGAGGAACAAGTCAAGATGTCCATTTACCAAGTGACATCACTAGGTGGCCCTAATCAAAACCATTATCTAGGAGTAGCTGTATTGATGAAGCAGCAACATACAACAGCGAAACCATAGTACGGTCTGATGTTCATATCCAAGGAATCTGCATCCATGGTTTCAACTATCCTTGGCTTTAAAACATTTTATAAAAATCCAAAACACAAACTGATTTTGCCATTTTCAATAAGGGAAACCATTTTACGACACCATTGTATATAATGGGACTAAAGCAGTGGTTCTCAACCTGTGGGTTCCCAGATGTTTGGTCTTCAACTCCCAGAAATCCTAAAAGCTGGTAAACCGGCTGGGATTTCTGGGAGTTGTAGGCCAAAATACCTGGGGACCCACAGGTTGAGAACCACTGGACTAAAGCATCAATTGATTTTGGTATCAACATGGATTCTGGAATTAAACCCCAAAGGAGAGCAAGGGCCCACTGTACCTTTATTGGGCCAGCCAAAATGCACTTAATACATCATGCATGGTTTTTAATTGGATATGGCAAGGGGTTACATTGGATGGCCCTTGTGGTCTTCTCCAAGTCAGTGATTCTGTAATGTCAGAGGAAGTTTGAAAGCTTGTATGATGTGCTTTTTCATTGTCCATACCCAGATTGCTACACAATTGCACCCCCTTCCCAAAACCTATTATGCAATAAAGTGCTAGAAAGAGTTCCTTGCAGAACCAACCCAAATGAAATTGCATGTTAAACCAGTCCTAGGCAGAGGAGATCACGACTGTTCCACAAGGCAGCTAAAGCAAGGACCAATGGTTTAAAAGAGTCAATATTTCTATTCACTGCTCAATCTCAGCAATAAAGCAAAGGTGAGAAAGTCATGCTTGCTTAGATATTTGGCTGGTATTCCCCTCAGCCTTCGCCAGCATAGCTACTGGAGCCCCTGGTGACACAATGGGTTAAACCTTTGTGCTGGCAGGATTGCTGACCAAAAGGTTAGTGGTTCAAATCCAGGGAGTAGGGCTGAGCTCCTGTATGTCAGCTCCAGCTTTTCATGCGGGGACATGAGAGAAGCCTCCCACAGGATGGTAACACATCTGGGTGTCCCCTGGGCAACGTCCTCGCAGGCTGACAATTTTCTCACACCAGAAGCAACTTGCAATTTCTCAAGTTGCTCCTGTCACGAAAAAAAAAAGCTATGGAATAGTGGGAGCTGGAGTCCAGCAAGAAAAGTTATTTAGTGGGCAACAGGTTCCCACCCCTGTTGTAGCTGTGCAAACAGTTCCCCATTGCCCTGTTGGTGGGATGTCTGATTAGTTAGGGAAAGGTTCCATGGTGGACTTGTGACTTGGTGATTTGCCTGCTCCTGTGGTTGGGAAGGTAGCAATAGTTTTAGTTTCATAAGAAGACCACAGGAGAGGGATAGAAATAATTGGCAAATCACAAAGAGGCCAAGAGGTGCACTGGAGTAAAAACAGAAGAGGACAGAACAGTAGCAGATAGAAAGAAAGCAGTGGCCAGGATATACAAAAAAGCAGGCTCAGAACTGCAACAATACACCTTGCCACTCTGCCCCAGGTTGGCTTTTCATTTTGTCCTACTGAAGCATGTTTATCTAAATCTTTTTTTGCCTGAAGTACAAGCTGCTACTTTCCATGCTGTTCCAAGCTTTGCAAACACATAAAGCTTCAACTCTAGGAGGCAATCCGCAATGAATAAACTAGCCTGAATGGGGGAAGAAAACAACAACTGTGCTTGGGTACACAGTGATGCCAACACAACTTGCTTCCCTTCTTATGCACCCCACACCCAGTCCCTCGGTTGTGGTGGCCCAGCCAATGATTCGGCCCACTTGTTGTGCAAATGATAAGTCACTTGAGAGCAAGTCCACACTGTAACACTTGAGGAGGGTTGACTGGATGGCCTTTGTGGTCTCTTCCAATTGGATGAGATTGTGCAGCCTGTGGCAGTAGGCAAAGTATATTGTTGAAGGCTCTCATGGCTGGAATCACTGGGTTGTTGTGAGTTTTCCGAGCTGTATGGCCATGTTTCAGAAGCATTCTCTCCTGTTGTTTTGCCTGCATCTATGACAAGCATTCTCAGAGGTTATGAGGTCTGTTGGAAACTAGGAAACCCCATTTTCCTATAAACCCCACATTCCTAGTTTCCTAGTTAAACCTTTGTGCCAGCAGGACTGAAGACTGACAAATTATTGACAGCATGACACAATATGCTTCTGGTATGAGAGAATTGGCCGTTTGCAAGGATGTTGCCCAGGGGACACCTAGATGTTTTACTATCCTGTGGGAGGCTTCTCTCAGGACCTCCGACCTTTCAGTCAGCAGTCCTGCCAGAACAAGAGTTTAACCCATTGGGCCACCAGGGGCTCTAGGCTGGCAGGACTGAAGACCAACAGGTTGTAGGTTTGAATCCGGGGAGAGTGCGGATGAGCTCCCTCTGTCAGCTCCGGCTCCCCATGTGGGGACATGAGAGAAGCCCCCCACAAGGATGCTAACACATAAAAAAATCCTGGCGTCCCCTGGGCAACATCCTTGCAGACGGCCAATTCTCTCACACCAGAAGTGACTTGCAGTTTCTCAAGTCGCTCCTGACATGAAAAAAAAGTTTCCAACGGACCTCACAATTTCTGGGTATGCCTGCCACAGATGCAGGCGAAACGTCAGGAGAGAATGCTTCTGGAACATGGCCATACAGCCTAGAAAAATCACAACAACGCAGTTGGCAAAGTTTTGCCCATTTTCCCCCCCAGGAGCTGATTAAAAAGACAAGTCAGGCAGGTTGGCAGCACTCTTGTTGGAAGATCAGACAGAAGGAGGTGATGGATGTTCTGCGAAGGAGACAAAATAAAGAAGCGAAGGAGACACGAGACTCCGCTCTGGCGGTGCTGCCTCTCAGCACATGCACAAAAGATGCGGAGAGCCAGGAAAGAGAGGCAGGCCAGGGGCTAGGAGAAGCTGCTCTTCTCTAGTGGAACTGGGGCGAGATCAGGAAGGGTGGGTTGTCCCTAAACCTCCAAAGAAAGTCCACCAGGAGAAGGAGGAAGGGGGGAAGAGGAGCGGTGGGACTTAGGTGGGAAGTGTGGGGTCCCTTCTGGGGCGGTACCTCTCCAGGGCGAAGTTGGCCAGCTTCTTCCTTCCGCCGTAGGCTCTGCCCTGGGCCCCCGGGAGGAGTGCGGACCCCCAGGCCGCCTGGAAGAGCAGCAGCCGGGCCAACATCTCAGGCCGCGTCTCGCTGCCTCCTCCTCCTCCCCCCTCCCTCCCTCCCTCCCTCCCACCCGGGGGTCAGGCGGGGGGCTCCTCCGGGGCTGAGCAAGGCTCACAGGCGGGGGGCAGCCGTGGGCAAGGCAGGCTCCTCCTTCCCCGCAAGCCGTGGAAAAGGCACTGTCTGTCTCCGAGTTCTCTGGGGCAGAAGGATCCAAGCACAACCGCTCCGCTCCGCTGTTTGACTGGGAAGAGAGTCTGGGCTCTCTCTCTCTCTCTCTCTCTCCCCCCCCCCCCCCCCCCCCCCCGCAGGAGTCTCCTTTCCCACATCTGGCAAGGCTCAAGCGCCCCCCTCCCTCGCCTCCCCTTCTCTGCAGGCTGCTTTCCCAGCTGTGCCAAGCTGAGCAGCCCTCCCAAGCCCCAGTCGGGGAAGGAGACCCGAGGTCCAAAGAAGAAGCTGCTACCCGTGGAGAGGAGCCGGGTGGGGGGAGGAGGAGCTGCCCCAAAGGCCCCCCGTTTCCCTTCGGGGTCACTTTAAGTCATCGTAACCAAGAACAGGTGCCTCCATACTGGACCAAAGCATTCTTCCATGCCCGGACCGCCCAAGGTGGCCTTCAGCTTATGTATTTATCCTATCAAAAGCAAGCCGAGAGTACCCTTGTAACCTTCTATACAGGCCTGTAGCGAGGGGGGTGGGGGGTGGGGGGTGGGGTTAACCCCCCCCCCAAATGTTTCAGTTTTTTAAAAACTGGTTTACTCATGAATTTTAACTGGTTAACCAAATCCCCATGCTAAGTCTATGAGATGCAAAAAATTAAGAGTCCCTCCAGAACTGCAAGCACTATCTCAAGCAAATATTGACAATTTATTCACACTGTCATTACTTGCAGCAATAGCCGATGTAGTGAAGCAACCAAGTTGGGGGGAGTGTTGAATGCTCTCATTAAGGAGGCCAGACTTGGTGGAGGTGGTTGACAGGGGCGGAGCTGCAGGCTATGAAGGCTGCTCTGCCCCCTGCTGTGCTCTTTGCTTCAGCGTGAGCTAGGAGGCAGGTTTCAACCACCCCCCCCCTCCTGAAAATTTCAACCCCTCCCGAATTTTTTTGGTGGACGGTACACCAGCAGAATCCCCAAGCTGTCCTGGTTACCCACTTTCAAGTGAACACTCTCGAACCCAGAACATTGTGTCAAGGGGCACCTGACCAGAGAGATGGACTCATGAAAGACCAGTGCAACCCCTCCTCCCTGCCCCCTGGGTCTGGTCTGCTGATGCACCCTAAAACCTGGAGGGCAGAGCACAGTGAGGTTGACCCCCCCCCCCGCCAGCTCATCCAGCCAGGTCTCAGTGATGCATGCTAAGTCCGCTTGTTCATCCAGGATCAAATCCTGGATGGCTGCGGTTTTACCATTTACGGACCTAGCGTTTAGCAGCAGGATCTTGAGCCCGAGGGGACTGTCATGGTGGCACTCCAACCTATCTCGCCGCAGGGTCACAGTTGTTCTGTTGCGCTTCTCCCTGGAGTGGCATTTGCAAAAACATCTACGTCTCCCCAGCATAACTTCAATCGTGAACCCCCGCTCCCAGGACAACCCTCCCACAGAGACACTATCCAATGGACTTAGAGGGGTAGGCAGTCAGCTGTCAGCATTCAATTGGGTGGGGGGCATTATCCACAGGGAACTCTCAAGAGCAGCTTTCTGTATGGACAGACTGATGGAAACACTTGAGACCAAGAAGGGCTGGTCTAGGGGCAGGGTTTGGGGCTGTATTTGATTGCTGATGGGGATGACTGCGCTAGGGATGGGGATTGGGGCTCTACTTGGCTAAATTTTAATAAAGTGGGCTGGTCTAGGGGCAGGGTTTGGGGCTCTATTTGACTAAATTTTAATGGAGGTGACTGGTCTAGGGAAAAGGTTAGGAGCTCTAATTGGCTAGATTTTAATGGAGTAGGCTGGTCCGGGGGCAAGGTTAGGGGCTGTATTTGGCTAAATTTTGGTGGAGTGAACTGATCTAGGGGCAGGGTTTGGAGCTCTATTTCACTAAATTTTGATGGAGCGAGGGACCTTAAGTGGAGGTCTACTTCACTATTGTGGGTTGATAGATCAAGAACAAGGGGCCCCTGGGGGGACTGTCTGAGTGTTTCCCGGATTGGCTCCCTACTACAAGTCCCTCTAGTAGTGGGCGGGTGACTAGGTCTTGGAACCTAGCCCAGTCATCCCCATCAGAATTCAATCAAATACAGCCCCAAACCCTGCCCCTTTTTACTTGAATCCCCCAACCCTAGAAAAACTATCTACGCAACAAAATATCCCTGGGGGGGTTAATATCTCCAAAAGTGAGTAGCAACCATAGGATCTTTGTGTTATAGTCCCTGCTCAACCATGTTACTGATTTGATGTTTATTTCCAATGGATGTTTCATCAGGATCTGCCCTAGGAACCTCTTAACCAATTCGAGGGTATTCCATCTGCCTCTATTCCAAAAAGCATCAGAGACATCAAGAGCCACTTTGTGTCTCTCGCATGTATATGTTTTAAAGTTGATTGTAGATTTGGGGGGGGGGGGAGCCCATAAATTTCAGAAATGGTTTGCTACTTCGTTCCTCTGAAATACAGTTGATAGCACCAGGCTTTAGTTGCCAGTTTCCCAGAACTTAGCTTCAAAGATCATATGGGAACTGGCGTCTTAGGCTAGATTGTTTTTGAGCTCCTGGATTTTCCCAATAAAGTGTTCAGATATATGAAAGATAGTATGTGACTTCCCAAGCTGAGTAATCAAACTGGCAAGGGAGCATCTGAAGAATAATCAGTGTCATGCCCATAGACAGATATACGTGCAGAATCTAGCAGCAAAAAAGCAAACGTCATATTTTGAAAGACATATAGCTCTTTATACATATTATTTATGCATAATCAAACGTGGTCTAAAGGAGAAGAGGAGATGGTTGGGCTTGGAGGTATTTTTGTCATTCGCTATGATAAATCCCTCACTTCACAGAAACCTCATTTATAGTGACAGATGGCGAAACTTATCTGCCCCCCCCCCGTGAAAATTATCTCATTACCCCCCTCTCTGAGTTTGCAACTCAATATTTTCACAGAAGACACTAATGCAATGCATCAATACAAACTTGAAAATGATGGAAAGGGACTATGTTATTCTACATACCTCACAAAGCAATATAAGGAATGGCTGCTGGAAAAACAAAAATAAGATTTTATTCTCAAGTGGTCCTTCTTAGTTACACTTTTGCAAGTGCATTTCCAGAGTGGGAAGTATGATAGCAATTTTGCCCTACACTGGTTCATGGACATTTATAGATGTTCCAGGCATGGCTGTGTAGCGTTTGCAGCCATCCAGTGTTTTCCCTGTCTTTCCCCCCACTAGAGAAAGCCCAGTAAACACAAAAAGCAGAATAGCTGCCATTGCCTGAGGCAAATAAACAGTAGGCTGTGTCTCTTTCAGCTACAACCACAACAGCCTTGTGTATTCTGCCAAATCAGTGTTTATCCTGTGGGAGGGAAACAAAACACAAAGACAGACAAGATCCTCTTCAAAAAGCTGGAGGCGGCTGTTTTCCTTCCAAATAATCTGCTTGGTGGATGATGAGCTTCTCCACTTGGGAGACAAGGTAGCCACAGGTGAACAATTATTTTTCCACAGCTTCATGTTCCTTTACATTGTGAGAAATTAAATAGGTATGAAAATGGAAGGCATACAAAATAGTGTAGGTAGAAGACCCAAAAAGATAGCTGTTGTCTTAGACCACCCTGGCCAGATCCGACTTCATAAGGTACAGTCGCAGCTGGCACACGAGTCTTAATTGTGCAAAGGCCCTCCCGTCCACCGCCAATGCCTGAGCTTCAAGCGTAAGTGATGAGTCCAGGAGGACACCCAGACTGCGGACCTGTGACTTCAGGGGGAGTGCAATACTGTCCAGCACAGAGAAGCAGTGATGCACCCTGTTTAATTTTCAGATACTGACGGAAGAAGGATATGGTGGACCTTTCACATGTAAAAAAGCTTGGTCTTCTTTGATAAAGGGAAATTATAAGTTGCTTACCTGTAACTGTAGTTTCCTGAGTAGTCACCTGTGAATTTGTACATTTGGTATTCTTGCGCTTGCGCAGTGCAACTTCCGGAACCTTCTAGAAAGTAAAAGAACATCTTAGCCCCAGCTAGACCCGCCCCCCCTCCTCCCGAGTATATATATCCCGAAGGCAGGGCTAGCCAACAGTTCTCTTCAACCGCAAAAGCAGCTAGAAGGCGTGGCATGATACTCGAGGGGAGGAAGGGCGGGTATGTACAAATTCACAGGTGACTACTCAGGAAACTACAGTTACAGGTAAGCAACTTATAATTTCCTGTCGTAGTCCCTGTGAATTGTACATTTGGTAGACTAACGAGCTATCAGCACGGCTGGCGGGATCATGCCACCGCCGAGGATAGCACCGCTCTACCAAATTCCAAATCTCTCTCTGACGCCGCGTCCACCTTATAATGAGACACAAACGTCAGGGGAGATGACCATATTGCCGCCCGACAGATAGCCTCCAAGGCCACTCCTTTCATAAAAGCCGTAGATGCTGCTACAGCCCTTGTGGAATGGCCCCTAACCTGCAAAGGCAGGTCTTTCCCAGCCATGCGGTAACATAATCGGATAGTGGAGACTATCCAGGATGACAACCTCTGGGATGACAATGGCAGGCCCAATGCATCCTTCCGATACTTAATAAACAATCTAGTCATCTTTCTAATAGCGGCTGTCCTATCTACGTAGAAGGCCAATGCCCTGCGTACGTCAAGTAGATGTAAGGAGCATTCAGTAAGGGTGGATGGGTTTTGGAAAAACCCTGGTAACACCAATTCCTGGGACATGTGAAACCTTGAGGAGACCTTAGGTAGAAAGGCCACGTCTGTCCGCAAAACCGCCCTATCCCTGTGAATCCTGAGATAGGGGGGATCCACCCGCAGGGCACACAGTTCACTGGAACGCCTTGCTGACATTATTGCCATCAAAAAGGCAGTTTTCCACGACAAAA